CCATCCCTATTCCTACAAAGGGAAAATCATCCCCATCCCCTCCCTATTCAAGGCAAGTCTCCACAGGGATTAGGGAAATGGGGAAAATTGCCATCCCTAGCTCCAAGGTGAAAAATTATAGGAAAGCCCCATAAACCCCAATTAAATAAATAGTATTATTTTTGTGTTTTGTATTTTACACCTCTCACCCCGATGCTTACATGCATTTCCTTCTCCCTGTGTTTCTTATACATGTGCTCACTAGCAAATGTGGAAGTGCTTTGCATGTTGCAATTTCATATGATGATAAAGATGATGATTATGATAATTTGTTTCCAAATTTTCTACAAATTTTCTATATTTCTTTATGTATAAAAAATAATTCTTACTTATCACATTTATTTTTTGTTTAATATGATGAATATATAATATTTGAGATGTATCCATATGTTTTTTACAAAATTTGTGTATATTTTATAATTTTTTGTATTTTTTAATTTTTATTATTAATTGTGAGATCAAGGGTTTACTAATTTGACCTGAAAGTTGAACTATTGACCTACCCCCAAACTAGAAAACAATTTCAACTTTGGGTTAATTGTAAATTTTATACTTCATTTCCATATCAATAAAAACAATTCTTATTTATCATACTTATTTTTCTTTAATATGATTTTTTTAAACCCCAAACTATACTCCCAGTGGAGGGGGCCACTATAAATCAAATCCCACTACCACCATGGTTGGGAAGGTCAAGGGTTAAGAGATGAGCTTGTTAGACAGTTTTGTATGCCCTTAGCTTCAATCAGAATGATGTACTTTATGAGTTTATTGTAAATGAATAAAGATATATATTTGATTCATGTCCCCTTGGTATGTTTCTGTGTAATACCCTTAAACTGGACACTTAACGAGACTTGTGTTAGTTTAGAATGTTCACAGCCAGTGGGTCGGTCTGGGGAGACCTATCCTGACAAGGCTGACACTGTAGTGCCACCAAGTCGGTTGGGGTGGCCTGTCTCAGCTGCCAGGGTGAGACCCTAGGCACATACAGTGTAGGATTAATTGAATCTTTGAACTGGAC